TGGGCCGGGGTGGCGGTGGGCACTGAGGGCCCTCTCCTCACAGGCTCTTTGCCATCGGGTCGCAGCTGTCCCCTGAGGTTGGGAGCTCCGGGATCGAGATGCTGGAGACCGACACCTTCAAGCTGCACTGCTTCCAGACGCTGACAGGTACCCTCCGCTCCCGGGCACCCAGCACCGCGCTGTGCCGCTGGGGCTGTCACGGAGCTCGGCCTTCCTCACGCTCCTGTCTTTCTTTCTGGCTCCAGGGATCAAATTCGTGGTTCTTGCTGACCCCAGGCAGGCAGGGATAGACTCCCTTCTCCGCAAGATTTATGAGATTTACTCCGACTTTGCTCTGAAGAATCCGTTCTACTCCCTGGAGATGCCAATCCGGTAAGGAAAAGCCCACTCGTAATAACTGACAGCCCTTAAGTTAAGTAGCAAAGCAGAGCCAGAGGTTCAGGGAAGGGGGAAGACACACCACAGTGCTGCAGGGACAGGACACTGACCTGTGCTTTTTCCAGCGCTGCTCTGCTGGGAACGTGGGAGGCGCTTGTCCTTGGGACAAGCCCTGCTGTCGTAACATAGCACTCAAGCCCATACAAGAAGCTTTACTGGTACTCGACGGCCGAGCCAAAGTTTGACAGCAGTCAGGTTGCTGTCTCGTGACTTTCGGAATCTCTCCTCGAAGTATGCGGAGATCCCGTCTGTGTTTGCTTGTTCCCTAAGTAAAGTCATCCCCTTGTGCTCCTGTGGCTCTTTCAGGTGTGAGCTGTTTGATCAGAACTTGAAACTGGCTCTGGAGGCGGCAGAGAAAGCCGGACCCTTCGGACCTGGATCGTAGAAAAATCCTCGCCTGTTGCGTGGACTCCCTCTGAAGAGCGCGGCCTCGCACTTCCTCAGTTGGCCTCTCCCGGAGCGCTGCCCCCCACAGCAGAGACTGCGTATTCCCAAAACATGCTCCCTTGTCTCCCGAGATACCGTTTTATCCCTTTGTGTGAAATTTACCTTGAACAGACTCGTCACTGCATTTACATTGGGCCACAGAGGCTTATTCTGCTGTTGGGGCTCCACTGCCCCCGCGAGAAGACAAGACACGGCGCGGGCCCGTGGCCGCACCACAGTCGATCGTCTTTCGTTTCGTAACTGTACATATGTATTTTTCCTGTAGAGCTCTAACTTATGGGTTTGCTGAGGGTTTCTCTAGAAATAATAAGCATTTGTTGAAGAGGTGGATGGCTGGTGGGTTTTTTTTGTTGTTGGTGGTGCGCTAAATTTGTGCCAGTAGCACCTCAAGAGGCTAAGTGGGTTTGGGTGGTTCTGCTCGCGCCGTTCTCCGTAAGACAACCGGAGCCCCTGTGACACTGCTCCGTTTTTATTTCACAGACAGGAGAAGATCACATAATTAAGTACAAAAGGTAATTCGCTTCCATTGTTTTAATTAAGGCTGGCTACCTACTCTTGCAACCAAGCTGTTCAGCAAAGTACCTGCATGCAGGTTCTCCATGAGTTGAACTTGCCTCTTCCAGGACCCTAAAGCAGTAAATCCTTCCGGGGAAAAAAAACCCAAGAATATTCAACAAAATCCCAGTTAAAAACCTGAGTCTGCTTATTGCAAAGAGTGCTGGCCCTGACTGCTGCAGGCTGCTGGCTGCCAGCGG